CCAAAGTGAGCTCCTACCTTTCAGGTTGCTTTTATTTTTACATTAGATCAGATGTTCTCAAACTGGGGGTCGGGCCCCTCAGGGGGTCGTGAGGTTATTACATGGGGGGTCAAGAGCTGTCAGCCTCCACCTGAAACCGCGCTTTGCCTCCAGCATTTATAATGGTGTTAAATATATAAAAAGTGTTTTTAATTTATAAGGGGGGGTCGCACTCAGAGGCTTGCTATGCGAAAGGGGTCACCAGTAAAAAAGTTTGAGACCCACTGCATTAGATTATCCAGGAAAAGTCTGCTGTGTGTTATTGCTGGGAGAGGCAAGTGTGTTGGGTCAGCATTTCTTTTATAAACTGTAACTGAAAACTGTATCAGCACTGTTCATGCTTCGGTGGATAAAGGGCTCTAAGACATTCCATTATTAATTATGATTTTTAGGAGATTTTAATACCGTAAAAAATTCTTGCAGGTGATAACTTGGTATATACTTGTTCAGCCTAGAAAGCAATTTTTTGTTAGTTTTCTTTTTAAATTGGTTTAGTGAGGATTTTTTTTTTATTTACTTAAAGGATTTGTTTTTCCAAATGAAATTTAGCAATTCATTAATGTGGATGAATGACTTAATACGTTAACTCTTAACATTATCAAACAAGAATTAATGTAGTAAAGTTTCACTGGGCTAAAAATCCCCAAAGAAATCACTTCAGTTGCATATGAATCTTTAACCTTCAGTCATTATGGCTTTTAACGCATGCCGTCCCAGTGTTCATGTGTCAAGTAGCCATTGTATAGGTGGGATCTTATGCTGCAATCTTAAAACACTAACTAGAAGGACATTTTCTCAATATGCCATCACCCTTTCAGAGTCTGAGCTAAAGCCCTTGAAGTCAAAGCAGACTCTCACGGACATCAATGAATTTTGGATCAGGCCCTTCTTGAATGAATGAATGACTGCCTGTTTCAGAGACATGACCTTATAATGGTTTGCTACAAACTTTAGAGGCAGTTTAGTTTGTCTACTTCTAAATTTTAAACTATAGCTTATGTTGTGTTTCAGGTTTCTCTTTAGGCTCGTTAACTTCATTAGGTCGCTCTTGATGCATCTAAGCATGGACAGTGGGGGATTCCCAATGTGGATGGGGGCTATGGAAGCATCCATACAGCCAGGGCTTCTGTAGGGCTGATGTGGAGTGGGAATGTTGTGTCCCACCAATCAATTCACTCCCCACCCTGTCCTAGTTCCTGAGTGGTTCCCAAGATCTGTGGAGAGAACTCCACATTGTCTGGGAAGGAAGAGATGCTGCTGTGGAAGCTCTACTGAGATATGTGTGATTCCTTTCACATCAGTGGTCTGCCAGGCAAAGGCCTAAATCAAAGCAGCTGCTTTTCTTGTGGACACTAGGTTTGATGAAATAATGGGGATTCTCTCAGCTGGGATGAGAAGAGCCTGGTTCAGTCTCAACAGAATGCTCCCAGTCTAAAATCATGTAAAAAAAGAAATCCATCACAAATGCTATTGGCTGGACGCTATCATGCTTACTCCTATTGAGTAGCATCTGGCTTCAAAAGCAGCCCCAGTAAAACAAAGGCAACCCAAGCTTTTGGAGCAGAGACCCTGGTCGGGAGGGGAGGTTCACCTTCCTCTGAAGCATGGGGCACAGGTCATTTGTTGGTTTAAACTAGAGTAAATGGTGGATTCGCTATAACTTGAAATCTTTAGCTCAAGATTTGAGGCCGTCAGTAATTCAGTCAGAGGGTATGGGCCTATTGGAGGAGTGGGCAGGTGAGCTTCCGTGGCCTTCAATGTGCCGGAGGACAGACAAGATGATCTTGATGGTCTCTTCAGGCCTTAAAGATGATGAGTCTACGACACTGCTCAGTGTGAGTAAGGGTGACACAACTGGCCCTTACATCGAACTGGAACAGTTTGTGGATGTTTTGCAAATACTTGCGTATCAAATCAATTTGACTGGAGTTGAGCACTTTAACAGTCATACATCCACAAAACCAGACTGCATGATAAGGCTCAAGAACTTTATTTAACATTTAATTTATGGGTGTCCCACCCACTAGAATATTTGGGAGACCATTTTTATAACTCAAATTCTAAATCCAAACAACCGATGCTTCACAAATACTCCACAGACGGCCGTTGGTTTATTTCTGATATTCTTTGAATATTACTGAGTACTGAATAGCTTCACAAGTATTGTGACTGTTTCATCAGGTGCTTCACAAAGCCAGAAAAGCCCCAATTTTTTGTATTTCGCAAGTACGATTCAATCCGCTATAATATTAGGTATCAGTAAATAGCTAATATAAAGCCATAAAAACTAGATGGCACTCATAGTTAAAGCTAAAACCAAATCCTTGACTTACCAGTTTGCTTAAATATTGGAAACATTTAATTGAAAATGTAGTGACTGAAAAGTTAGTGACGGAAAATAATTTATATTGGTTGCAAGGGTAAAGAGGAAACACTTAAGGGTCTGGTCTCCTATTGGTTTTACCAAAAAGCTCTTTTTTTTCACATGAGCTTTCCATTTCCTTGTTTTTATGGGTGTAAACTTGAGTTTTATGGTATACTTTTCAGTCTGATATAAGGGGAATTAGCGCGAAGCAATTGTAATGGAATTCTACAGCTAATTTCCATAATGGATCTGTTAATATTATGTTATTTTGGGTTATTGAAACACCTAATTTAAATTAAGTAATTTTTAATACATAGCTGTATTACGTTAAAAGGAAAAGGGGAACTGATGTGCTTAGATAATAAAACACATTTAAAAATGAAAATTTTGCCTCATGGAATTATTTGTGTGTTGAAACTGAATATAGTGTTGATTAATAATTTTGTATCTTATTCATCCTTGCCCTTCTATAGCCTAACCAGTATTATGAAGTAAATAAATCCATACCTCCAGATCTCCTGAGATATTGGCCCCTGCGAGAATGCCAGTAGCTGCTGGGAAAAAAATGGCAAAGACCGAGAAAAATCCTTCACCTCTGAAATCTGGTCCAAAATTTTCTGCAAATATTGAGGCTGCAAATACAAATGAAAATTAAACATATCATCCAGACTTGATTCTGAAGTGACATGATGAAGTAGGTAAATGAACTAGTCCTTCACCTCTGGAAGACTGGGGTCCAATCTGTTTTATCTCATAAGTGAGGTGAATTTGATCATCTCACTCTAGTTTGCCACAGTGCACATTTTCTCCAGATCACAGAACTACAGCTCAGTATTGAAATAACAGGCATGTTCCAGGTTCAGATTAAAATAGATAAAACCGTGTGCCCACATATAAATGGCTCAAACCGCTACTGCCAGTGTGTCACCTTCAGAGGTATTCACAGGTTCAAAAATAAAAATGGACTCAATCCAGTCACCCAGAAATATATTTAAAAAAAAACCTGGGTTCCCTTAGTTTACAGGCTCATTTATATTTGGATAAAAGAGCCTGATCTTATAGCATTTATCAACGGGAATTTTGCAGAACTAAAGGCTGCAGGACTGGGCTGAAAATATTAATTTATTTTATATTATTTGGTCATAGCAACACTTGCCTTGGTAATTAAAAAAGCCTCTGGCCTTCTTTTCGTTGCTGGTCGGAATGACTGTCCCAATGAAGAAATTTGCAATGGCAATAAGAAGAATGACCAGAAGAATTACTTGTGCCTGTTAGTAAAGACAAAAGCATTTTACTAGTGGACTCTTTTTTGTTTTGAATATGGTGGTAATTATGTATGTAGTGGTATTTATGTATTACTTATGATGTATTTCAAATTTCTGCAATATTAGAACACACTCAGCCACTGCTTGGGCAGATGATTCAATAATCCAGATGACTAAATAGACAAACTGCCTTAAGCTCTATGACAATAACGAATATTTTGTAACAAGGAATGGATATGAAATATAGAAAGTTATGACTCCCGCTTTATATTGTAGTTTGCTTCCTTTACAAGAAAAGGAAAAATGAAACAGCTGATGGATAAATATTTAGATTAAAACATTTTATATTGTTTGTTTAGTTTCAGGGCATTGTTACATCATGGGTATTATATGTCTAATTGACCACTCTTACAAGTAGCTCTAAATTCCCCTCAGAGCAGAACATAAAGATAAGGTTGCTATTCTGGATCTGATTTTGACAGGTACATTCCAGTCTCTTAGCCGTAACATTTCCTTTATTTTATGGGTGTTTTCCCATTAATAAACATGACTGAGATTTTTAACATTCGAACAGTAGACAGGAAGGCATGAATCCTTAGAGGGTAATGAATGGAGAGCAATATAACAACCCACTTTGGGGCCAGTATCCTACACAGAGTAGCACGGCTTGACTGTGTATTATTTTTATTATTATTATTTCTATAGAGCTATAAAAAAAATAAAAGGGGCATCTACCTAAGGCTATAGATGATCCTGCCATAAATTACAAAAACAAATAAAATTAAACTGCCTGCAGAACACAAAACTCCTCTTTCCCCACAAATTTCAGTGTGAGGAAAAGAGAGAGCCTGCGGCCTAACTCTGCTTCCACTGACATCAATAGCTAACTCTCATTGACTTCAAAGGGAGCTGGGAAGCTAATGTTGAGTACTTTTGAAATTCCCACCTGTCATATCACAGAATATCAGGGTTGGAAGGGACCTCAGGAGGTCATCTAGTCCAACCCCCTGCTCAAAGCAGGACCAATCCCCAGACAGATCTTTGCCCCAGATCCCTAAATGGCCCCCTCAAGGATTGAACTCATAACCCTGGGTTTAGCAGGCCAATGCTCAAACCACATAGATCTCAACCCCCAAACCCGTGTTTTATGCTTATATAACACGTTCTGCAGTGTAATAATATTTATTTATACATAACTTTTAAAGCTTACCTTTGCTTCCCATTCCATACCAGCCATAGAAATGCCTAAAAGAACAACTACAGTAATGGAGCCTATTATTCTGATGTCATTGAATTCATCCACCATCAATGCACCACTGCTCTGGAAAGGGTAAGAACACAGTGTATATGATCAGCTGGATAGATCAGACAACCAGGTAAAATAGAATGGAATGAGTACATTAGCTTAAACAGTTTCAGGGGTTAATGATTTCCTGTGCTAGTTTGACCTTAGTAGTTGAGACTACTGGTTGACTAATTAGGGACCTATTCCCTTTAGTGATTTTGGAGCTCTTGTAGGACTGTAAAAAACGCTTCTGATATAAGTTAGAAGTGATGGGAAATCTTATTAAGTAGGATTCGTGGTCCATTTAGAGAGATCTAAATAACAGCCAAAGACTGAAGCAGTTAGAAAAGTTGACCGAATTCCCTGGTTTAACCACATGCAATAAATATACTTTCATATTTACCTTAAGTAGCTCTACAACAGTTTCAGCAAATCCAACTACATACATGGCTACTGCTACAGCATTGGCAAAGGCAAAGATAAGTCCGATTGATCCTCCAAATTCAGGTCCTAAACTTCTTGAGATAAGATAGTAAGCACCACCTGCCAACAGAAGAGACTGTTGCTTTAACATAATTCAGCTATTGCCAGATCTTGCTTACCTTACTCATGTGAGCCATACCACTAGGAGTTTTGTTTTTTGCTTGAGGATTTGCCCTATTAATAGAAGGAACAAATTTGCATGTGGATGGGCCCAGAAAAATGTTTGCAAAAATTCAGCTTTTGGAACTTACTGTAGAATTTCAAATATTAAGTATTGAAAATGATTAGCTATTGGAATCATTAATATCTTTTTAGCATGTATTATTTGGTATATAACTTGAGGGGGCCACTTAGGGATCTGGGGCAAAATCAGTACTTGGTCCTGCTAGTGAAGGCAGGGAGCTGGACTTGATGACCTTTCAAGGTTCCTTCCAGTTCTAGGAGATAGGATATCTCCATTAATTAATTAAACCAGCCACTAATGGTATATAATTAAAACACACCGCTGAAAGGATTTTTCCTTACCTGGGTCCTCCCGTTGTCAGTGTAAAAATTCATTCGCCAAGATACAAACATGCACAATACACTCCTTAAATAGTCCACAGAGTTAAGCCATAAAGTCTTTAAAGTTTTTGCATTTCTACATAGGTGGAACCTTAGTCAATCAATTAAATAGTTCCTTCTATCATAATGAACCATAGTGTTTAATGTCAGAATGTTTTAAAATCTCCTGAAGAGACATGTTGTTATTTGGAGTTATCTCAGTAAAAGAGATCACCCAAAACTTTTATATTTTGATTTCTCTTTGCTTTACTGTACTGAGCTAACACCATTACAATCTCTCCATTTTATTCTAAATCATCCCTGCAGATTTCCATATTTTCCATATAGTTATATTTACGTACCTCCTCTTACTACTCCATTAGTGCAAATGGCAGACATTGAGATACCTGTTAATGTTGTTACTACCACACTCAGCATAATAGCCATGATTCCAAGACCTGAAAAATCCCAAAAAGAATATATTCAACCTAAATACCTGCTCAGCACTTGAATCCTGTAGTTAGAAATCACCATCATCCACTGTGGGGGAAACACCCGGTGTACCTTCAAGACCCTGAAATGCACTAAACTTTTAGATACAAGTTTCATGAAGTACCTGAAATGTACTAGACTTTGGTATTGCACCAAGAGTAATCACTTATGTTCCAAGAAGCACCTGAAATGTAAAAGGATTTTATAAGGAAATGTACAGGAAGTGATAAAAATTAATGTATCCATCAATCTGCATCAGCCTTTAAGCTAAAGGAATGAGGTTCATAATATTCACTCTCTCCAAGGAAATGCAACCTGAAATGCTCTGAATAAGAATGATCTATTAAAAGAGTAAGAACAAAAGAACTCCAGGACAAAGTGGAATCGATTCCTCCTCCAGTCTCAGACAGGAACATCTGAAACGTACTTTACAAACTGAAGTGAAACTGCGATTTATTAAAATGACAACTCAAACATTCTAAAATTGTGGATAGTGTTGGGTAGATGTATTACCTGCTGATTCATCTGGGTTCTAGGTGTCCAGTTTGGTTTATCCTTAGTGGTGGTGGTATTTTAGGGAATACGACCTCTGGTTTCTCTCATAAGAATATAATTAAACCTTTTTGAGTCTTGAGAACATAAGAAACCCTAAAGATTTTACCTCCACGGACAAACCCATTAGTTGCTATTGCAGAAGTTGACAACCCAGTAATTGAGGTTACTGTGGTGGCAAGAAGAATTATGACAACTCCAAGACCTGTCAGTAATGAAAAGATAAAATATTTTATTTGTGATCCATATTCCTCAAAATCGTTTAAATTAAACTTTCAAACTAGAATCAGAGCTCTGAACTGAAATGATAGTTTGTAGACCACTCATGGTCTGTGGAGCAATTCCAGCAGGTCCATGTAGCTACTTCTATCACAATAGCAAAGCATCCATCAGTCTTCAAGCAGTGATGTTTTCTGACATAAGTAGCCCAGTCATGGACTCTCTTATGATCTCCAGAGACTTTCTTGAAACTAATAAAAATAATAATAAAAAAGCAATTCTCTGCATGGGTGCCTCATGTCTTTCTTTGATCCACCCCCTTGTTACTACAAAAATTAAGCAACCAAGCAATGTTATAATGTCTTTTTTTCTTGTGTAGATGGTTGGAGTAAACATGCTATAAGCATTTTAGAGAGCCATATTTCAGTCATGGGGTTAAAACATGGATCTTGAACAAGTTCTCGTATAGGGAAAAACAAAAAAAAGTTATAATTTGGTTTCCATTTTATTCTGCTTTGGTTCTCATACTGCACCCATCACCAAGTGATTGGTCATAACATTAGTACAAAAATATGCAGCTTTGTCAGGTGTTTGCTATACATTTAGCCTTGATCCACGGTTCTCAAACTGTGGGTTGGGACCCCAAAGTGGGTCACAGACCCATTTTAATGGGGTCGCCAAGGCTGGCTTAGACTTGCTGGGGCCCGGGGCTGAAGCCCGAGCCCCACCTCCCGAGACCAAAGCCAGAGGACTTCAGCCCTGGGCAGCGGGGCTCAGGTTACAGGCTCCCTGTCTGGGACTGAAGCCTTTGGGAAGGGTTGGGTTGGGATTAGGAGGGGATGTGGCTCTGAGAGAATCTTCATTTTAACAAGAGGACCAGAAAAGGTAAACTTTGAGATCCATTTGTTTAACTAAAATTCAACATACTGTGGAATTACATGTAACTAATCAAATACCTGGAGGTTTATTTTAGTAAAAGGTGAACCTTGAAAGGTTCCAAGGTTCTTTACAGTTCAGATAGTTTGCATGTTTTACTGGACCTTATCCATACAGCGCAGTTCTCTTAACTCTGCAAAACTGGACTAGAAAGCTCATGAGAATAGGGCTTCTTCTGAGGTTTTCCTTCCAAACTACTTTCCTGCTTCTAGTCAAGCAAGAAATATTATAACAGCTTTTCTCTTATTTTGTTGCTTTTACTTCCTGTGGCGTATTGGAAACTGATTAAAAATGACAAAGTTTCACTTTAAGTGTCAGGGATTCCCTGCTCCTGCTTGGAGACTCTGAAGGAAGCCATGTGATCTGGATTATCTGAGTCAGTAGTGGACAGCCAGGCTGGAAGGAACAAGCTTAAAGCCATGTGGGGTGAGCTGTGCCTGGCTACCTTAGGGAGCAGCCTATTTTCTCTCTCTCTTGGGTTCTTGTGTGTTATCATTCTGAATTTTAAGAAATGAGGTAGTATTAAGTTGCAACCTTCCAGCAAGAGTATTTCTGTTTTCATCTAATTTCTCTGTGTGAAATCTTAATTGTATCTGAACTTCTTCACGCTTCCCTACTTCAGCATTTCCTGCTCAGTAACTCTATTGCTCCCATTAGGTATGTGCATTTTCATTTTAAAATGGAAGCATAAACTTAGCCTGTAGCAGTAAATATTGGCCATGGTTTGTCAGAACTGAAACATGGATACTGTAACTAGCAAACTGTTAGCGGTACTACAATGTATGGACTTACCTGCCCTAGTTCTACCTGCTGGCTTCATTTCAGATCAGATAGCTGACTTCATTTCATATGGGATTATTATAGTATCTAATCCCCAAATAAATGTTCTTTGTTTCTAAAATGATAGCCATGTTATCACAGCACACTAAGGCAGAGCAACATCGTGCAGGAGATATAAGTGATATATAGCATGAAGTTAGATATTTTAAATGATAAATCACATTTACACTATTGACGTGTGAGCTTTAATTTTAACCTAGGATGCACCTATTTGGTATACACTTCTGTATACAAAGTCAGTTCCTTGGGCCATATCCTATCATAGTCTGCACACAAAAGTCCCACTGAATCCAATGGGTGTTTTTCACCCTGGTGAATGGCAGGCCACGATCTGACTTTTTAATAAACTGTTAACTCATTAAATTGAATAATTCAGAGACATCACTCTCAAAATAGATTGAACGTTTCCCTGTAATTGGTATAAAGTACCTTCCAGAGTTTTTCAATTACATTTTGATAACATATTTTATCAAAACAAATGTGCTAAACAGGGCTATATATTCTGCTCATTAGACAATTGATGTGTCTGTTTGGACAGAATTTGTTACCAATCGAGAAAAAAAGGAAATATTCAACAGGCACAATGCAAGAGATAAATGAACTAGGCAAAACAAAACACTACGAATATTACTCCTTGCATTATTATATGGTAACATTTGGGGCAATATTTTCTAATGGCCTAAACTTGGCCCCTCTTCTCACCTCTGCCTAACTACAAGGTTTGGGGGAGCTGCAAAATGGCAGGTGCAAATTAACAGGATGGTTTTGGAAATGTAACCCTCTCAGTAGCAGATTTAACTACTCTTTTCATAGTTGATAAATTCTTATGATTAGAGAACCTTGTCTCCACCTGTTTTTTCCTCTTTAACAGCTTGTACCCAAGACAACTTAGCAAGAAAAGGGTTTGCTCTCTACTCCCTTCTAATGATTGGGATATAAATGGGGCCCAGATGGTAGCTTCACTGACTCATTTAACTTCCATGTTAGCAGCAGTGCCCAGTGAAATCTCCAAGCCATGGTGGTGATGAGCTTCATCTCTACTCTCCTTAAATAACTTGTCTTGGGACATAATGCTCATTGCTTATAGGATATTCAGAAAATGCATTGGGAGATTATTCAAACAGAATTCAGTGTCCCATTTTAAAAATGAAACTGACCTGCTTTACGTACAAGATGTAATTTAAATAAAACAACAACAAACTAATAAACAGTAAGAAGGGAGGGTTTGATTATTAGTGAGTTACAACTGTAAAATTAAATGTGAAACCAGGGCCATTGTAACTGCTGTTGTGCAAAGTAATGATAAGATCTGATTAAAGTTTATATTGAAACCCAGACATATGGATGTTAAGTAAATTGCATTAAAATGAATTACTCTTGCCTATGGCTATTCTCACACCTCAAAACAAAGTAATGCTTCTTGATGATCTCAATAAGTTACTAAACTGCCCTTAAAAAACTAATTTTGCATGAAACCCTGGAGCAAAGTCTTGGCAATGTTAAGATGCAGAGTTTTCATGGCAAGGCATACACTTATGTGTACCCTGTGGCTGCAAACCCTCATTTGGTATGCATCATAAAATCAGCAAGCACCCTTTTGTCAGGGCCAGGCACAGTACTGGAGCCAGATATGGAACACTGTAAAAATATGCAGAGTTCTTCCATTTTCTTTCAGGAACTTTCTTGCCTTTTCAACCTTATGTCTGAGTATGTTTATGTTCTTTTTTCAGAAGACCTGTTACACAGAGTTTTCCTAATTGCAAATTCAGGGCTCAATCTAGCAATCCTCACTCAAGCAAAACTTCCGTGATGCCAATGGGAGTTTTGCCTGAGATGAGATTTCAGCCCTTGAAAAGTCTTGAGAGGGTGCGTGGAGCTGAGGTTCTGTTTCAGCCCAGAGATCCATCCACGTTTGAATTCTGAATCACCTCCGAGATCAGGCATGGTCAGATCTCCGATCCAAAGTTTTGGTTCAAGTTCCTCTCTAATACCAATTTATATTGAGAGAAAACCAGTAAAACAACAATTGAAAATACCTGCTATTGATATTTTGGAGACTGCAGATTACAGCTGTCATTATTTGTATTCTATTAGTGCCTATTGGCCTCGGTCAAGGTCCCATTGTTCTAAGCACTGTACAAACACAGAACAAAAAGAGAGACCTGTCCTGAAGAGCTTACTTATATCAAGTAAATCTGTGCATGATCTGCACCAGACACTGAAAGTGACAGAGGAGGCGAGAGACTTGGCTGTGTGGATTGATGCACAGGATGATTATGAGCCACCAGTGTGATGTGGCTATGAAAAAGGCAAATGCAATCCTAGGGTGTATTAGGAGAAGCATTTCCAATAGAGCTAGAGAAGTATTAATGCCATTGTACAAGGCACTGGTAATATTCCACATCAGGACTTATGTACAGTTCTGGTCACCCATGTTCAGGAAAGATTAATTTAAACTGGAACAGGAACAGAGGAGAGCTACTAGGACAATCGGGAATGGAGGGCCTGTCTTTTGAGAGGAGACTGGAAGTGCTTGGCTTGGTTAGCCTAGCAAAGAGAAGGCTGAGAGGAGATTATGATTGTTCTCTATAAATACATTAGGAAGTAAATACCAGGGAGGGTGAAGACTTGTTTAAGCTAAAAAGGCACAAGAACGTATGGATATAAATTGGCTATGAGCCAGCGCAGGCTGCAAATTAGAGGAAGGGGGATGGTGTTCTGGTACAGCCTCCCAATAGGAGCTGTGGGGGGCAAACAACTTAATGAGTTTGAGAGAGTTGGACAAATGTGAGTGCAGTTGTATGACAGGGCTGCTTATGATGGTGGGGGGCAGGGCTCAACAACCCTGGGGCTCACTTCTGTTTATGTCTTATGTTCCGAAAGGTCTTTCTTCAGGGTGCCAGCTGGCTGCCGGCAGGGGTCAGGAAGGGATTTCCTCTCCAACCCCAATATATTCTGGGAGGGCTTTTTTTAACTCCTTTCTCTGAAGCATCAGGGATGGCCATGGCTGGAGATGAGACATAGGATGATGTGGGTCTGGTCTCTGAGGTGGCATCAAGCCTTCTCTCTCTATCAGGCGCTTGGCCGGCTGGTTCTTGTTCACATGCTCAGGGTCTAACGATTGCCATATGTGGAGTTGGGAAGAAATTGGCCTTTCTCTGCAGCGTGTGGGTGTAGGTCACTTGCCAGGATTATCTGGGTGTATCTCAACCATTTCCCTGGCATTGCAGGGGCCTCAGGCACTGGTGCACCTGGGTCCCTGCTATTCTCTTGTCTGTGCACATAATAATCTAGTCTCCCGTGAGCTGTGATACTTTGGTCTCATTTTGGTTGTTCAGTTGTTGGGTTTAGTGTGCTGTTGCTGGGTGGTGTTGGTGGCCTGCAATGTACAGGAGATCAGACTAAATGATCTGATGATGCCTTCCGGCCTTAAACTCTGTGATGCTATGATTTTACATTCCTGAATAAAAGCCTGATACTGCAAGATGCTGAAAACTCTGTGAGTTGGTGAGATGAGCACACTCATCTCCCATTGACTTCAGTGGGGGTTAGAGCACTCATTACCATGCATGACTGAGCCCTCAGGGTCCAACTCCCACTGAAGTTGGTGAGTCATTACATTAAATTCAGTGGGAGTTGGATAGGATGCAGACACAATGAAAAAGAAACGGTCCTGCACCACAAAATGTACTTTGCTAATTTATCTGAAAAGCTTAGTTGAGTTTTATTAAAATATTTCCTGGTGCCACTAGTATCTGGTTCTGTATTGTAGTTAAAAATAGTGTGTGAATGACAGTTTGGGTTCATGGATTAGCAAAGTGTGAAGTAGAAAGGTCAACTGTGTATGAGTATACATATTATAACTTGGCTTCAGTCATGAAGTTGAGAGCTGTTACTGGTTCTAAATACAAATTTCACCAAAGATGGGGGTTGTTATATGTTTGTGTATATAGTTGACACCACATCCCTCTAAGCAGTAATTTGGCTGGGAGTCTGGAAAATTCCAGTAACTCTTATACCCTAGCAAGCAAACACTTGGAAGACCAAAGTTAGTGCAACATGCAAACTCACATTTCAGATTAAATATTAATTGTAATCATGTGTAGTTTCTACCCTTTATTCTTTATGCTGTTGAAAAAATACATACCAATTCCAGCTTGACCTACAATCCAGGACAGTCGAATGAAAAGCATCACACCCCAGATATTCAACATGCATCTCACCTAAGTTTTAAACAAATAATCTTGCATCACTATAAAATTACAAACAGTATTCTGAAACTTGCTAAGGTGCATTGCAGAAAACGAATAGGCTTTTTAAAAGCAGCAAACAACCCCTCCCCCCTTTTTAAGGTAATTGATAATTGCTGATATATTAATTTTTGTAAGATACAGATAATTTTCTGGTAGGAAGGTTTAGGTTTCTCTCACCAGCACACCTTTCACCCATCCAAACTTCACAAATCCCCCTTTGCCTTCTTCTTCCTTGTTGGCTGTTGCTTCATCTCCTGGAGTGCCATCTCCATTAGTAACTCTCTCGATTGAACCGGGATTCACTGCTATGTTCTAAAAGATCACACAAAAAAACAAATATATTCTGTACAGTTGCTAAACAATATACCAAGAGGATGACAACTAGCTACATAAGGAACACATGACAAATAGGGATCCAAAATAAAAGTGTATTTTGCTTTTTTTTTTTTTTGGAAGAGAATGTTATCCTCTTACTCACACTAAATAGTAGCTGAACTACTCAAGGTATAATCAGAATGAGTAAGTGTATCATAGTCTGGACTTAAATACTGTCTATGTGTGTGTATGGGTAAGTGTTAACAGTATACAGCATATATACCATACTTATATGTTTGTATGGCACATAGCACACTGAGATCCTGACCCTGGTTGACCTCTAAATGCTACTGAAATGTAAATTATTGTTATTAATAATAAAAATAAAATATATTTTATATAACATAAGAAGTAGTGCTGGCTAAAGAAACTAGAATTTGCTGACTACTACTTGGCAAATAAATTATTTTATGAATGTCACCATTTTTCATCAGATAATACTGTCACCAAATACATCTCTACCCCGATATAACATGACGTGATATAACATGAATTCGGATATAATGTGGTAAAGCAGCGCTTCGGGGGGGCAGGGCTGCGCAGTCCGGGGGATCAAAGCAAGTTTGATATAACACGGTTTCACCTATAACGCAGTGAGATTTTTTTGGCTCCCGAGGACAGCGTTATATCGGGATAGAGGTGTATATCTTTGCAGAATTTGACCAACTCTGTAGTTTAAGTTCTCTTTAGTGAGAATGTTATTTGATGAACAGCCACAAAAATGCATCAGATAATACCCTAAATGAATAACCTGTTCTACTGTTTAACTAGCTTTAATAGAAGTATAAGCATACAGGGTCAAGTATTGGCATGCTGGCGCCACAACCACATGCCAAATGCGGCGTTCATGTGTGCTCACATCCTGGCTTTGAAAAGCCTTCTCCCTACACACAGAGGAATGGCTGAACCAACATCCCAAAGTTTTGGGAAAGTTCAGATCTGGATGCAGACTTAGATCTGTCCCTGTCCCTCTAATGGGACAACCAAAAACCCCCAGTGTCCCTCCCCTCAGCTTTTGAGAAAGTTCAGCTCCAGGGCTGCAGCTTGCAGTTCGGGTAGGAATAAGTTGTTTCAGAGGATTGCACCTTGCAGCCATTGGTGGGTCAGGGAGTACCTGTGGACTAACACAGAGACCATGTCCCTGACCTCTGAATTATGCTTCATTGCTCCCTTCTGGATTTCATCATATGAAGTTTCTGGGCGAATCAGCATAAGGGCAAACAACATCCAGGTGCAGGCTAGGCCCTGTGTGAAGAAAGATACATAGCCCATTGGGGTGAGTGAGAGGGTCAGAGAGATGGAGGAAGCTGGTAGTTCAGGGAACTCAGTGCTTTTCAGGATTTGGTGGGGTATGAGGACATTTCCAGAGCGGGTAACTATGCAAAGGGTGGAGGGAGAGGGGTAACATACTAGGGCATAAACATAGCTGGGTTCCCAATTAATGTGTCAAGTTGTGTGCATGTAGGAGATAGGAAATCTCCATTTATTTCTTCTACATCCTTCTATGTCCAAATAAGGAGGAGAGGATGGAAGATGATAAAATACAGGTAGGATATGATGAGAAACAGTCAAAAGAAAAAAAGTCCCATTCAATTACATCATGTAATGGCAGACAGCTAAAAAGTGACAAGTTTTTGAAGTGCTTGTATACCAGTGCTAAAAGTCTAAATAGTAAGATGGGTGAACTAGAGTGCCTTGTATTAAATGAGGATATTGATATAATAAGCATCACAGAAGATTGGTGGAATGAGGATAATCAATGGGACACAGTAATACCAGGGTAGAAAATATATCAGAAGGACAGAACAGGTCATGCTGGTGGGGAAGCAGCACTATATGTGAAAGAAAGCATAGAATCAAATGAAGTAAAAATCTTAAATGAACCAAACTGTACCATAGAATCCCTATGGATAATAATTCTATGCTTGAATAATAAGAATATAGCAGTAGGGATATATTACAGACCACCTGACCAGGATGGTGATAGTGACTGTGAAATGCTCAGGAAGATTAGAGAGGCCATTAAAATAAAAAACTCAATAATAATGGGGGATTTCAACTATCCCCATATTGACTGGGTACATGTCACCTCAGGAAGGGATGCTGAGATAAAGTTTCTTGACACCTTAAATGACTGCTTCTTGGAGCAGCTAGTCCTGGAACCCTCAAGAGGAGAGGCAATTCTTGATTTGGTCCTAAGTGGAGCACAGGATCAGGTCCAAGAGGTGAATATAGCTGGACTGCTTGGTAATAGTAACCATAATATAATTCAATTTAACATCCTTGTGACAGGGAAAACACCATCACGGCCCAACACTGTAGCATTTCATTTCAGAAAGGGGAACTACACAAAAATGAGGAGGTTAGTGAAACAGAAATTAAAAGGTACAGTACCAAAAGTAAAATCCCTGAAAGCTGCATGGAAACTTTTTAAAGACACCATAATAGAGGCTCAAATTGAATGTATACCCCAAATTAAAAAACATAGGAAGAGAACAAAAAAGAGCCACAGTGGCTAAACAATAAAGTAAAAGAAGCAGTGAGAGGCAAAAAGGCATCCTTTAAAAAGTGAAAGTTAAATCCTAATGCGGAAAATAGAATGGAGCATAAACTCTGGCAAATGAAGTGTAAAAAGAGAATTAGGAAGGCCAAAAAATAATTTGAAGAACAGCTAGCCAAAGACTCAAAAAGTAATAGCAATATTTTTTAAGTACATCAGAAGCAGGAAGCCTTCTAAACAACCAGTGAGGCCACTAGACGATCAAGATGCTAAAGGAGCACTCAAGGGTGATAAGGCCAGTGCAGAGAAACTAAATTAATTCTTTGCATTGGTCTTCACGGTTGAGGATGTGAGGGAGATTCCCAAACCTGAGCCATTTTTTATAGCTGACAAATCTGAGGAACTGTCCCAGATTGAGGTGTCGTTAGAGGAGGTTATGGAACAAATTGATAAACCTAACAGTAATAAGTCACGAGGCCCAGATGGTATTAACCCAAGAGTTCTGAAGGAACTCAAATGTGAAATTGCAGGACTACTAACTGTCGGCTGTAAATCAGCTTCTGTACCAAATGCCTGGAGGATAGCTAATGTGACGCCAATTTTTAACAAGGGCTCCAGAGGTGACCCTGGCAATTACAAGCTGGTAAGCCTGACTTCAGTACCGGGCAAACTGATTGACATTAAAGAACAAAATTGTCAGACACATAGATGAACATAATTTGTTGGGGAATAGTCAACATGGTTTTTGTAAAGGGAAATCATGCCTCACCAATCCACTAGAATTCTTTGAGGGGGTCAACAAGCATGTGGACAAAGGAAATCCAGTGGATATAGTGTATTTAGATTTTCAGAAAGCCTTTGACAAGGTCCCTCACCAAAGGCTCTTAAGCAAAGTAAGCAGTCCTGGGATAAGAGGGAAGATCCTCTCATGGATTGGTAACTGGTTAAAAGATAAGAAACAAAGGGTAGGAATAAATGGTCAGTTTGCAGGATGGAGAGAGGTAAATAGTGGTGTCCCCCAGGAGTCTGTACTGGATCCAGTCCTATTCAACATAAATGAGCTGGAAAAAAGGGTGAACAGTGAGGTGGCAAAATGTACAGATGATACAAAACTACTCAAGATAGTTAAGTCCCAGGCAGACTGTGAAGAGCTACAAAAGGATCTTTCACAACTGGGTGACTGGGCAACAAAGTGGCAGATGAAATTCAATGTTGATAAATGCAAAATAATGCACATTGGAAAACATAATCCCAACTAAACATATAAATGATGAGGTCTAAATTAGCTGTTACCTCTCAAGACAGAGATCTTAGAGTCATTGTGGATAGTTCTCTGAATACATCCACTCAATGTGCAGCGGCAGTCAAAAAAGCAAACAGAATGTTGAGAATCATTAAGAAAGGGATAGATAATAAGACAAAAAAATATCATATTGCCTCTATATAAATCCATGATACGCCCACATCTTGAATACTGCATGCAGATGTGGTCACCCCATCTCAAAAAAGATATATTGGCCTTGGAAAAGGTTCAGAAAAGGGCAACAAAAATTATTAGGGATTTGGAACAGCTGTCGTATGAGGAGAAATTAATAAGATTGGGACTTTTCAGCTTGGAAAAGAGAAGACTAAGGGGGGATATGATAGAGGTCTATAAAATCATGACTGGTGTGGAGAAAGTAAATAAGGAAGTGTTATTTACTCTTTCTCAGAACACAAGAACTAGGGGCCACCAAATGAAATTAATAGGCAGCAGGTTTAAAACGAACAAAAGCAAGTATTTTTTCACACAATGCACAGTCAACCTGTGGAACTCCTTGCCAGAGGATATTGTGAAGGCCCGAGATTATAACAGGGTTCAAAAAAGAACTAGATAAGTTCATCAAGGATAGGTCCAGCAATGGCTATTAGCCAGGTGGGCAGGGATGGTGTCCCTAACCTCTGTTTGCCAGAAGCTGGGAATGGGCAACAGGGGATGGATCACTTGATGATTACCTGTTCTCTTCATTTCCTCTGGGGCACCTGGCATTGGCCACTGTCAGAAGACAGGATACTAGGCTAGATGGACCTTTGGTCTGACCTAATAGGGCCATTCTTATGTTCTTAAGAAGGCCATTGAGGTAAAGAAATCATGGTCCCTTGCTAGGAAGGAGAAAAGTAGGGGGAGGTGTCAGAGAATGGGGCTTTGTGCTGCCACTCTATTGGCAGATGTCTAGGGTAGGTTCCTGCCAACACCCGCCTAGTTATGTTTCATATTGTCAGCTGGCATGTGAATGCCCAAACAGGATTTGTCCTGTAGTGTACACATATATGTATTAATGTAGAAATATATAATATATAAGATTTTATTGTATGTGTAATTAAAACTGTGAAGAACCTGCTTTAATGTGATAACACCACAGGAACATAATTCATTACAATCATTATAACAGTAACA